CCCCAAAACCCCAAAACCCCAAAACCCCTCAAGATGAGAATATTTTATTATTGATTCTATCAAAATTTAAAAGATTTATTTAATCAAGGGATCAATTTATTTAATCAAATATCCTCCTTTAAATGTCTCTCTATTCCTAAATGCATAAGCAAGAGCCTATTCATTAAATTGGAATGTGAGTTATAAGACTAGATATTAGCTTAATCAATCAGGTAATCATCACTGATTGTAATTTTTTAGCATCTAAGTCATGGAGTTCTTAATAAAATCCATGTCATCTTAAATTCTAAGGACTTAGGAAACAAGTCCATCAACTTTTATTTCTAGACTTTTAGACTGAACATCAAGTCCATTTACTTCTGTTTTTATTTGCTTGAAATCATTATTGCTGTTCTGCAAAGCTTGGTCAAGTGTCTACTAAAGCATCTTTGATATTTTTTCATCAAGTCCTTCATTTGAATTAAGATGCTAAGAGTTCTGATTAATGAGTACATCAAGCTACTGCTTATTCTCTTGATTTTAAGTTTTAACTGATTGTAGATTTTGGATGATATCTGCCTTTGATTTTGCTGTTGTTGTTCTGATGGTATATTTTAGATCTTTGATAAATCCTTGCCAATCTCCACTATCATTAGACTCTGTGTTTATTGGTCTTCTCACAACTATATAATTAGGGAAGTATTTTAAACTTTCCAAATCAGATTTAGTGAAAAATTATTCTCTTTCTACTATCATATTAGCTTTTACTCTATATGATTCGGCGACTAATTTCTACATAACTCTTTCATAAGACTCTGAGATCACTGCAATTATAAAGTTCATGAAAACTATATTCAAAGTAATTACTGCCAACACCCAGATAATCCATGTAAAAATAACTAAACCATCTTCTTAGGTATGGTAATCATCCAGTTAAAAGTCACCAGAAGATATTCTAAAAGCCATTAAAAAATAAGCCAATTTATTTACACCGTTATATTCATCGATTTATTAAGCCTTGAAAAGGACTAAGAAAATCATGCCAAACTGTAAGATGAATATAATGAAAAATATCAAGAAGTATTTAAGGTCCTTAAAAACACTAGCCATCATTTATATTAAAAAACTAAAGCCATCATAAATTCTCAAAAAGAAGAATAACTTCATAAAGGATAATACGATCACTAGAATTTTAATCAAGATTAGGAAATCTTGGTCCTCATTTGTGAACTCTAAAATACAAAATGCTGTATAAGCAATGATGTGTGAAAAATCAAAATAGTTCCATCCATCATATAGGTAATCTTTCTTTTAAACTTTAATTTGTTTTATCTCATAAATTAAGAAAAAGAAAAGTACCATACTGCATATTATTTTTGTTGAAATCTTAAACAAAATATAGACTAATTTATTAGGTTTCTAAATTTCAGTATCAGAAGCTTATTCTTTTTAGCTGGCATAGGTTGAATAGAAGATATCGATGATAAAAGAAGTCATAAATATCAAGTAAATATAGAATCTGTTCTAATAAAATGATTTTGTATAGCTATTCCATTTAAACTTGATAATGCTTTGAATAATTTTGTTTTCAAAATAATCTGGCTTATCTGTCTCGCTTAGAACCTGCATCAGTTATTATTATTAAGATCGTAATGTAACTGGTAAGTTGATTAAATGATATTCTATTGAGACCACAGAATCCTTATCTATTTTTTATTCTTCTAATTTTCTACCAAATAATTCATCGTACCTTTCATATACATCTTTAGGATGTTATAAATTAATTCCTTCGATTAATTCTTTTTCATCAGGATGCTGACTAGGAAAATTTGATTATAGAATCTCATAGCTAGCTATTTTACTTTCAAAATATTCTTATAAATCTATCTATTGTTTGATGAGTTTGCATAAATTTTTATCCACTAGCTAGTTAAACATTATATGGTCTTAATACTTAAGTATCATTGAGATAATCAGATTAATTATCTTTTACTGATGATTATTTAATGAAAAATCAAGAGGAGATTCTCCAATAATTAGATTATTACATATAAGAATAGGCAACGATTGCTTTTCCTTTAGTGATAGCTATTTAACAATCGTTTCAAGTGCAATCAAATTATTCTAAAATATTCCAAAAACTGTTCCTATTCCAGCAACAAACTTAAAGTATTTATTAAGATTTTATGATAATTCTTAAATAATTTCTTCATTACTTTTGCCTGCAATTTCTCTATATTCTTTGATCAATTGATCAGTAATATCTACTAAGAAATGCCCAACCATTTATTGCTCACCTTTTATAAATAACTGAACTTAACTTGAATCTATCATTATTTTGTCAGCAGTCTCAAAATGAAATGCTGGGTAAAAAGGTTAATTTAGTGATTCATCATTGAACATTTCTTCAAAAGAATTTAATGTCATAGTATAAATTTCAGATTCTTCATATATACCTTTTTCATTTAAAACTAAGCAAGATTTTTAATTTAAATCGTTTTAATATGAATCAAATATTTCTAGATTCTTATATTATTGAATTTATTTAATCTGAATTGTTTTTTCAACAGTTTAATTTTTGAAAAATAAAATAATTGTCCCCTCTTGTAAAGAATTTATTTGCACATAGTTATTTTTAATAAATACTGAATTTTAGGACATCCTATATGGTATTCCTTTAATAATTTCAGAATTTTTTAGACTAAATATCTTTACTTCGTCACTATATTATACTAATAAGTAGCCAAGAGTTTCATCAAGAATTGCTTATTTAGGATTTTTAGACAGATTTACTGAATCATTCAAATCAATAGAATTAAATTTTTAGTTTTGATTATCAAAATATACAAGTCTGCAACGTGATTCTTATGCAAATATATATTGCTTTTGATTGAAGCTATTATTCATTAAGCAAAAAGTATCACTTCTTAAAGATTCATATCCGAATTTCTCCTTTAAAGTTTTCCATTTGATCCTTCGATTTCCATTCAGATAAATGTATTTATAATCATTTCTCACTAGAATATCATCTGAAGATATATCATTAACAAGAGCATCAATAGATTAATAATCTGATTATATTATTTCATGGAATTTATCGTTAGATAAGATATTGTTAATATTCTGGAGATATAATTTAGTATTTTCAAGATCATCTTACTCTATTTCTTTTTTTATTCCAGTTATTAAGTCTTAGATAACTAATTTTTA